CAATTAAAAACTGCTTCTGAGGTGAGAGGAGACCTGAAGAAATAGTACCAGGTCCCCACACGAACAGGCATAATGCATCAAGGCTAAAACTCAGATCTAAGTGCCTGATAGAAATACTAAATTTAGGTAAGAAAATATGCATTCTGTTTTGGCTATTTTCAACCTTTTCCTCTCTGCTTATTATGTTCCTATGGATAAATAATACTTTGTTTTAACAGCCTGGTATCACCGCGTTTACCAGCTGGCCAGAGCTTCTGCAGAGAAGTCTGTAGCAAGGGCTTTACTCAGTTAGATCTGCTGGAATAAACAAGGGGATGAGGTAATCTGGCGATCCACTCAAGAAATGGGAAGTCTGAGAGTCAGTCATGTGAGATACATGATTGTGTTCACTATGCACACGAAAATCTTAAAGTTACTTGTTGAATCTGTTAGTGGCAATGCAATATAGCCAGCCTGGCAGCACTCGTTCCCACACTTGTGGCCAGAGTCATTTTACCGTAGCATGTCCTTGGACAAACGTAACAAGTCAGGCTCTTGAAAGAGATGCCCAGAGAAATGTGCCGAAAGTACAGTTTGCCCCTCACACTGTAGCACCTTCACAGAGCCACTCTCGAAGATAAGGAAGGGTACTAAAGAAATGGGGCTGTGGAGATTATTTTAGTAGACCTTCACTGCTCTTGACCCAATTCAAATGCATCTTTCTTGCACATGGGCGACCAAAATTGTATTGCAGTAGTATTCCAGATGAGCTTTCAACCTCTTCATTCTTTGATCCTGCAATGCCTCCCGCACAGCACACGTTCAGCAAGAAGGCAGGCGCTACAAAACCTGTGTGACGGCTGCCCAACTATTACCCTCAGACAGAAACGAACCAGTGAAGTGACATGGCTAGCCCCTACCAGGACCCTTAACTGATGTTGAAAGACTATTCCCAGGGACTGTCCAATATTAGCGAACTAAATGTTGAGCAGGATGTGGTTGCTTTCCATAAACTCAACCAGGGTGTAAATGCATGGGAGAATAGCTATCTCAGCTGAAGTCTGATGCTGGCATGGTAACAAATGGGTACATACTAGTCATGGATAAAAGTAAGCTGGCAATTAGAAGATTCTTCACCATTAGAGTAGGGAGGTTGTAGAAGAGCCCTTCAATCAAGGCAGTGGAGACAAGGTATATGGCTTCTTTTAAGACAGACTTTGATCCATTTATTAACAGGATTTCCTGACACGATGCCTATGATAGCGAAGGACTGGACTCATTGATCCAGGAGGTGCCTTGCAGTCCAAATGCAGTTTCTAAGGAGCACTCTCTTCCTCACCAATACACCTTCAAACCATCAGAGATTTTGGACATATTCCCCATCCTCCTCTTGTTGAGATCTTAACCTCCTTTGGCTTCTCTCTTCAGCCTGCCCCATAGAGGGCCCTCCTTACCTCTTCTCCCCTCGATTGTGTAGGGATTATTCCACCAGACTTTGCTCCTCTCCTTTTCTCAAGGTGTTTTATAACCACATTCTCACAATGCTCCTGTGAAGAAGACCAATAGAAATACTTGCCAGGGAAACACAGAAGTTAGGAGTCTTACCCAACATCTCACCCAACTATTAGTGGAAAGCCGAGATTGTGACTACCTGAGGACTCACTGATATTTAGTATGCAACTTCACTATGACAAACTTGGGAGGGCAATGTCAGAAGGTCATATGGGCTATAGTGCCTATCCTGAGAGTCCCTGGAAGGGGTATGAAGAGCAAACAGAATTTTCTTGAGATTCCCTGGCCTAACAAGTCAGAAAGGAGGGATGATTAATTCAGCTTCTCAAGACAAGAGTTGAATTCCCATCTCTGCCATACTCTCTGGGTGACTTTGGCCAAGGTCATTTATAACAGCCACCTCGGGTTCCCCATCTATAGAACAAGAATGATACGCTTTCCTACCGTTATTTATTCAATTTGCAAATTCTCCAGGGCAGGGACTAATCTTTATTTGTATGTACAGCACCAAGCACAGTAGGACCCTCATCTTGGTCGGGGCTTCTAGGCATGAGTGAAATACAAATAAATTACAATATTTTGATCAGCACATCAGGAACCCAGATAAACAATCCAAAAGCAGCTTGATATTTTCCCCTCCTGCAGTCTGCTTTTCTGTGACTTGTTTATCCATCTCCAAGCCTCAGCAGACATCTAATCAAGCTGCTAAGAGGCAGATTTGTGGCTGGTCAGGCACTCAGGGAGCTGTTAAGCATGCAAAATGAGTTCCATTCAGCAAACAGCACTTTCTTAGTTGGAGATGTGGTTTCTTTATTCACTTCATACCCTCTATTTTCCTATTAAAATTACACTAGGGATGACACAGTAACTTCTCCACTAAGAGGCCTCCTTAAGTTCTGGGTGGGAACACCTGAGTGTTTTAAGCCTATCTTGTTTGCAGTCTTTGGTACTGATCCAAATCATGCTTACAGCTAGATGAAGAAATGATTTCAGCAGGCTTAAGGAAGAAGGAAAAATGTGATAGTTTCCAGATGAGCGTATTATACTAAATTTAACATTCCTTTTGGTATTTAGAATTTCCACTTTTTCCCCTTCCATTTATGTAATTAGAAATCAAGCAGCAGGAAACCATTCCTATTCCAACCTCGGTTGGGAACAGTACAGTCTTACTCCCATCAAGTGAAACAGGAGACCTGTTCTCACATGGAGACATTTTGCATAGTTTGTTTGGACAGGTTCAAAAATGGGTCTCGAACAATGCAATTTAAATTAAACCACAACAAAGAAAGGCCAATTATGGGTTAGTTCAAAAAAGCTGAACAGGGAGGTCTTGGAAGACAAAGAGAGAAGGCTTAAATCTAAATTGCTAACTATCCATTTCCAGTGCTTACCCCCTTTAAAAAAAAAAAAAAAATCATGAATGAGGATACTCTTTTTGCAGTCTGTTTCCATATCTACAGTAGTGTATTCTACAGGAACGGTTACTTTGCTGAAAATATATGGTGCTTTGGGAAAATACGTTAACTCCCACAGTATTATTAGACCAGAAGGGAGCCATGGATCTCCTGGCTCATACAGGCAATAAGACTTCTCTGAATTAACTCTTATTTGAACCAAAGCACAATTTTTCCAACCCTCTCTTCTCACCCACCCCAACCAATCTTGATTTAAAAGTTGCTAGGGACAGAGACCCTTACCAAAGTCATTCACCCATGAGTCTGGGCCAAACCACACGCCAGCAGCTAATGCTTTTCATGTATGTGTGTGTTGGCAGGCAATATTTTTAAAGGGCATCACAACTCTTTTTGGTTTAGATTCTCTTGTCCTTTACCCAGCTGGATACTCTCCTCTTGAGCTAAACCCACTGACTTCCCAGACTACTAGCACTGCAATGAATACAGAACTTAATAAAAAGCTTTCCAAACCACAGAAGAACCATGGCTCCAAAGTACACAGCTCAAATTAAAAATTGGGGCCAGATAAAATGATTCAAAATTGGGAAGGAAAAAAAGAGAGAGAGAGAGATCCCGTTTCCAATAAGCTGTTTTGACCTGACTGATTAATGCAGTCCAGCAAGGGAGGAGGTGGTAGTGGTGATGGAAAAACAAGGACATGCCCAAGCAAATGGTGCTGGATGGTATCATGCTTTGATAGTGTCTAATACTGCCCTGGCACCAAAGTGATTTTATCCTACGAATCTGTTGCTCTAGGCTAAATCTTCAGCTTTTGCTTACTTTGGGCACAGCCTGGCATGTTTCTTCAGCATGCAAGGTTTTTGCTCAAGTCCTCAAAGGGATGCGGGGGTGGACAATTGTTGTAATCCCCATGGCCAAATCTAGCGATCGTTGCCCAGTGATAAGAAGGGAGTTTCTCAAGCTCTTTCTGATCTCCAGATACCTCCTAACAATCTACCCCCGTCCTTTTTTTTTTTTTTTTTTGGCAAAGCTTCGAAAAACTATTGTGCAATTTTTGTTTTCCATTGTGTGTCTTTTTGGAGAGAAATTTGTTATCGTTCTTCTTTCTGCCTGGCTCACCATGGAGCAGAATAAACTTTCAATACAGGAAATATCAGTACTGGCCTTTAATGTCAGTGTAAAAATAACGAGCATAGGAATAAATAAGATGACTCCTCGCAACTTCCTCCCTTCGTTACATAGGATGCCTTGGTGGTGACACATACCTCTGGAGAGGGGCAGGAAACTTTGTAACAGCAAGGATTCCCATCTTGCCCTGCACAAGGACAGCTTACAGCAAATGCCTCAAGAATAGTTCGTAGCGGAGAGAAAATAAGGAATTCCATGGGTACAGAGGCTAGTTTTGCTGGGTGGAGATGAGGTGAAAAGAGACTAAAGACAAGGAGCCAATAAATGAGAGGAACTTGAGAAAGTGTTCTACAAAAACCAGGGCGAACGTAAATCTCTGAAGAGAAGCTAGAACAATGAATTTCCACATCCCATCTGTGTCCCATTCCCAGGTATTAAAACCTAAGGCTGCTCACAGAGAACAGGGGTGAAAAAACCATCAGCCAAGAAGTAAGCTCTCTGCCAGATGGCTCAAGCATCTGCTTAATTAGCCCACTATGGAGGGCAAGTTTCAAACCTAGCTCACTCCATGACCCATGAAGGCTTCAAGAAGCAGCATCAGTTCTCTGAGCCAGGCGCACTATTTTTCTCTTCCATCTGTTTGGAGAGGACAGAATTCCTCTCCTAAAGGCCACTGCTGGATAGACATGGCAATGAAATATTTTTGCTCCTCCTAACGCCGGCACAAGCAGCAGGGGGCTTATGGGTGATTTATGAGGTGGGAATATTTCTCTGAACTGTACGCTGGGGGGGGGGGGAGTTGGGGGAGGGCTGCCTTTGAGAGTGGGGAGGAACACATGACGGCTGTTGTTTCAGAAGGACTCGCTCACTGGCTTTTACCAGGTGGTCCCAGCTGCTGGGAGTTCAAAAGGAGCCCTCTCCTTCCATTCACATATGCCAAAAGGCCGAAAAACAGGGGAGCCCATGTTTATTTTAGTTATTTATTTCTCAGAAGAGCTCCTTCTTGCACCTTCCAGACAAAAAAAAATACAAAACAAGAGACAGAGCATTGTTTCAAATACAGAAACAAATACAGTTTGTTGGAGTATAAAGAGTTACTGGTAGCAGTGTGTCAGAAGAACGGTGGCTTATTCCAGGGGCACTTCAATATTCCTGAGGAATAACCATGATTTCTCCTTTCCTCCCACTGGGATATTAGTCACTGTTCCTGTAAAACAAGAAAGCTCACATTATAAAACTTCACATCCTAGAGCACCTTCTACCACCCAGGAATGTCAAAGCAAACTGCTTAGTCTCATAACACCCGTGCAAGGCAGATCTGAACCAATTTTCATAACTACACCAAAAGCAATAACTACATTCAGAAAAAGAAATGCGTTGCAAAGCTAGGAACAACCAAGACTGCCCAAGTGTCTGCTTCATGCTCTGGTGTGTGTGTGCACACACACACACACACACACATCATCATCCAGATACAGTATAAACCTCACACAGGAGTACAAACAAAATGCAGTGTCTGGGCTTGTCCAAGATTGTAGCAGCAAGAGAACCAGAGACTGATGGCTCAGTATTTACTTGCTGGGTTTGTGGTTGTAGCCGTGTTGGTCTAAGGACACAATTCAGGCAAGGATCACCTGAAGAAGGGTGACTGCCTGAAAGCTTGCTAAGAACTTGTTTCCAACTACTCAGTTGGTCTAATAAAAGATGGCATATCTACTCAAAGAACCTTGCCAGTATTTACTTTGAAGTTTGAAATCGGTCCATCAAGGTCAAAAACACCTAACCCCATCTAGGAAAACCTCCATCCTATACTCAGGCCACAAATATGAATCAAGCAAGTAACTGAACTGAGAAGCTATGAACTACCAACCTGAGAGCAGTGGAAGCTGTCTGCCTATGGCTCAAGGAACTAAAAAGGGGGTTGCTTAATAGAGAATTAGCAGAATTGTACTAAATACTTTTGGGGATGTTTAGGGGCAGTGTCTTGCTTTATAGACATCGCCTATGTACAGGTGATAAACTCCCTCCTCGTTCATTTTAATAACCAAAAGAGAAGGACGTTTCACTGCTACAAAGTTAGAATCAAGTTAAAACTCGATCTCAGAAGGAAATGGTGTGCCCAGCTCGTGAATGCTGGACATTTTGGAAGTTCAACTTAAATTCCTGACAGTTGTTTGCAAAGTAAAATCCTAAAAGAATTTACTTCAGGTCAGTCTAAATGTTTAATTTAGATGAAAAACATTTTTTTCTTAAAAAGAGTTTTTGTCCTACGATTAACCACAATTTCAACACTCTCTTTTTTAACCAGTCCGCTAACATTTGTTGGTGCTTTGACACTTTCAGAACATCCCTTTTCAAAATTGCCAAAAAGCTTCTTAGCACTTCCGTCAAAGAAACTCACCTCCTCCTCGCAAGAACTTACATGTTTTGAAACTAGGATTTTTTCAACAACCAAAAAAAATTGTCAAAAGAACTGCATAAAACTTTAATTAAAACATTATTTTCTAAGGAGGAAAAAAAACAGATGAGCACGATAATGCAACATTTTCCACAGTCTTAACCATCAGAAATGAAATAATTTTGTTTTAATAACCCTGGAGCTATTATCCATGACTATACGTTTTGGAGAGAATTAATATTAACCATTAGATGGATTCGTCTGCTCCTTCCCTCCCTGTAAAATGCTCAGATTATTTGAGCCAGAGGAAGCTAATGGAGACAGCATGATGGAAACTATTTGTCCAACTCCAGTGCTGTGCAGGCAGCTGCGCTTCTTCCTTCGAGTGTCCCTCTGATTACCTCATGCTCAGTGGGACCACCCTCGCCACAGAGCAGAGATTATTCCTTAATACAAATCTAAACCCTTGCCAGGCTAGATGCAGACTTAGTCTTCTAGTGCCCCATGTTCTCGAGTGGTTTTACTTTGTCACAACAAGCATCTTCCAATGGACACACTGTTTTTCAGAGTATTTGAACAGGACATTTACCCAGTCTCTTCAAACCAAAGACATCTCATCAGTTTACTTTAAGATTCAAGGCTTCAGACTAAGGAGATTCCCCACAACAGACTTGTGTTGAACTAATACACGAGAGCAAATATTAAACACTGGTTTAGATGAGCAACATCTAGTCCTAAAAAGTTACTGAGCTGCATTTAGGAACATTACTTTGCTTGCATAGAAAGGGTAGAAACATAGAGTGCCCAATACCCAAAATCACTTACTTCTCTAATATAAAATGAAAGTCTGTTTAATGTAAATAACTGCGCTACAATCACCCGGACAAAACTTTTCTAAGGAGAAGTTTTGAAATAGAAGTGTTTTCTTGGACTGCAGGACTTTGGTGAATGCTAACCCTCCAATAAATGCAGGGAATGCTAGACTTTGTATTCCTGATTGTCTAATAGTAAAGAGAAGCAGGGGAAGAACACTTCCAAGCCTTCCATGGCCATCATTGCACCCTTTTTACCAGGTCATTTTAAAGTCTTCTGGCAAATTCTCTATGTGGGCCTTTCAGAGCACATATAAGAGAGCATTCCTAAAAAGTATACCATTCTACTACTGTGTCATTGCAACGTTTTCAGCAATATATTCCTTCACAAGGAGTTACAACGCATATTTTGTGATCAATGTTGCTACCTGCAGCACAGTATTTCCTAGCAAATGTGTTTGTATGACTGGAGTCAGAGTATTTATGGCTAGATTCATTTTCCAGACTTTTCAATGTGTATTTTGTTACATGCACTTTTACTTGTGGGAAAACCACCTGCAGCATAAACAGATCCTGGAAAATTCTAGTGCCCTCATAGGGGCTGGAATGTAACAGATGTGGTAATTTGTGAAGTCAAAGAGCATACTGATTATTTTAAAGCCCTTAAAGTTTGATAAGAACATAGCACACAGGATTTCTCTTTGGGTTTGTCTTAATACAGGTTTCTTCTATACTCTTTAGGTGAAGGTACGAATCTTTAATTAAGCACTGAAGAGTGTCTAGATGTACTGGTATCCCAATACTTACTTTTACAAATTTGCCATGGAGAAGATATGGAGATTGGAAGTCATGTTGACAATTGGAATAAGCCATTCCTAATCCCAATCCTGACCCAAAAGCAATAGGCCACGTCTTTCCTGGAGTGGGGCACAGGAACAAAAGAGACCAAAAAATTAGGCAAAGCTGCTTTCTTCTCAAAATGCAACAAAAACTTCTTATCTAACCTAAAGCCAAGTTACTACAAGACAGGGACTGTCCACATTCAGGTTCTACGAATTCCAAAACTTGCTAAAAAAGCCCAATTTAGAAAGTAAGGTCAGAAGGCAAAAATAGCATTTAGGGCAGGGGTGGCCAACCTGCGGCTCCAGAGCCACATGCAGCTCTTCAGAAGTTAATATGCACCTCCCTGAATCTTTGCACAAGCACACGGTGCTTCCATATGGAAGCTGGTCACAGTGCGCTGGTCATCAGTTTACGCAGGCTGAGGAGCTGGCCTGCTGTCGTCTCAGGATCTTTCAGATAAGATCTGTCCTTTCTACATGCAAGACTTTGTCTTTCATTGATAGATTGATTCAAAATCTGTAATCCAAGAGGGGTTTTGTTGTTATACAAGCATCAATGGTAATAAAAAAAAGAGGGTTCTGCAATTTGCACTTAATTAGCAGAGCAGAACCCAGCGCATTCTACAAAACCCTTTTTGGCTCTGCAACATTGACAGAAGTGGCAAACACTTGCTATTTTTGCTGTAGGCTCTTTCAGGCAAAAAACTGGCTTTAGTGCTTGTATAAAAACTTACCCTACAGGGAACAAAATCCTCATTGTTGTTCTTGTAATCACCAAAGGACCTAGGGAGAGCAATTCTGACTAGGCATGCAAGGTTTACAAAGTAGCTGTTTCCCTAAAAAAGTGTATTTTAAGGAATCTATCGTAAATCAGAACAGCTTACAATTTCTTGTGCAAACAGAACTTGCCAGTTAGTATTTTGAAGGCATGCACCTTCAGTGCTTGCGAACGATCTGAAGTCAGGCACAGCATGTGCTCTGTCACCTGTCTTAGAGTTGAGGATTATGCCATTACCAAGAAAGAGCAATTAAAGGAGAAAAATTAAGATTAGCTAGGGAGAAAAATTGTGTGTGTTAAAACCCCAACAGAACTGGCAAGGGCTGATGTCTACACATGCACTTCATTAGTTTTTAAGTACAGGGTCTACTGCAGTGCCAGGACTTTATAATCAGAAGTCTGACTTCATGCCCAGCTAAAATTCTGAGATGGTCCATACTTGGTGACCTTGTTTAACACTAGTTAAGTCTTGGTAATTTCACTTCCACTAATCTGTCTGGATCAGTAATGGAAGAGTTGGCATAACACTCCAATTCACATTTACATGGTTCAAAGGATTGTTTAAAAAGTAGTACATCCACAACAGATTATGATTCTGAAATCAAATAGTCAAGAAATGGGACACACTTACTTTTGAAGAAGGTAACTGAGAAAACAATTCCTAAACCAAAACCAGCACCTGCAAAAAAAAAAAAAAAAAGAGGGAAGTATCATAAGGAGAGAGTTTGAAAATAAACAATAATGGAAGTAGATTTTTTTTTTTTATATTCCTTGTTCTGGCTCAAGAATGCTACCCCAATCAGAAGCATGTACCCCTAGATATAAAAAAAAAATAAAAAAAAAAAATATATATATATACAATATATATATATATATTCCCTGCATCTCATTAGTTATAAACAAACCTTGGACCCCATGATGAACTGTCACCCTCAGCTCAGGAATCAGCCTGTATTTGGCTTGCTGTCATTGGATGAGACGCTTAAAAAGATCAAGGGCACAGATTTGCTTTAGGTTTGCAAATGGCTATCAGGAGTGCTTCTCACTGCTCCAACATGTGTCCTCAGGGTACCAAACTTTGATGGCTGATGTTACTCTATATCTTGCAAAAGAAAGCTTGGGGCTGCTTATCTTTTATATCCACAGCATTCATTAAGCAGCAGATTTAAAACAGGTTGGGAAGGAATGATTACTTACATCCTAGACATATGACATGCAGCTTGAATTGTAGCAGCTCTCCATCACCACTATGGAGCTATCTTGCCTTGTTTAAAAAAAATAAATAAAGCTTTCCCTTGGGCAATGCATATTAAGAAGTCTCATGTGGGGTGGTTTTTGCAGTTTCAAAAGGCATTAAATAAAAGTTAAAAAAATTAAGCTCAAAATAGCATTCCCATGCAAGTTGCATTCCTATGCAAGTTGCAGAAGGATTAACAAGACATCCAAGAGCAAGATTCAGCCATGTATGCACTTTAAAAAATTGAAAAAAGTCAAAGAAAGAGAAAAAAGAAGAAGAAAACAAAATGTTGTCGTGTATGTTTGAAAGAGCACTGGGCTTGAATTCTCGTTAGGATGCAGAACAGACCCAGCATGCTTAAGGGCCAAGGAGGCTGATAACTATTAAAAAGAACACTTCCTGCTGCAGGGACTACTACAGACAGAGCAAACACTGCAGGACTGGACTTAAGAGTATACTGGCACCAGGCTCGGTTGGACAATGGAAATACTTCCATACCACTAACCCTTTTACAGGACATCCAAGTTCCCCTTTTGGATTCCTTCCACTTCCCACACTGACTTTTACTATTTGCAAAGAAAACATAATAAATGAAGCTTCCACTGCTTTATTACTCTTTGCTCCAATTAAACAGCTCTGTACTTTGCTGCCTTAGTTAATGATTAGTGAAGCATTGCAAGTGCTTTTTTTCATTGGGAAAAAATCCAACCAAATGGTAAATATTAGGAAATGAGATAATGATTTGATCTTAGAAGAAATAGAAAGACAAGAAAAACCTGACATTTGTGCTGAAACAGATCAAGTTATCCAGCTGTACTAAGAAGCTAGAAATCAGAATTATTTCTGAAAGCTCTTGTCTTTTCAACATTGTTTGAACATAGTTTCCTTAGATCCAGCTATGACAGAGGTAATGCTACCAGGGCATTATGGTTTCAGGACAGAACTACCAAACATGCAACAGGGGAGTGATCCTGACATAAGTCCCCTAGACATGTTAGCAATTGAACATTGTATAGAAGGTCAGGTTCTTGCTCTTTTTTTAATCTTCTTCACATTACAAAACCTGGGGAGGAAAAGGGGAAACCATATCCTGTTGCCCGGTTAGACTTTCAGGTATTTTTCTCCATTTGATTTACTAGCAGGTACAATCACTGTTAAAAAGTTTCTGCCACGGGATTCTGATTGCTCAAAGACGCACAGAGCTTATGCTGAAAGTAGGAGAGAAACAGCAGGGTCATCATTCATACACTTGCCCCAAATGGAGTTTTTCTTCTGTACCTCTGTAATAGCACAGCTGGTGCTGGCTCTGATAGAAGGTTTATGCTATTAAGGAGAGTTACTAATCTTGAAGAATCCATCACGTGAATTCACGAAATGGACCAACGCTTTGGCCCCCTGACCCAGGGCTCCGTTTGAATCTTTTTCCTACCATATGTAGCCAAGCTGCCCCTTTGTTCTGGTCTGACTGCTGTACTAGAATATCTGAATTTGAATAGCAAGTGATTACTTCAAACAGGCAGGCAAGACAGCATAAGGCATCAATTGAACTGTCCGGCTTAGCAGGCTTGTCACGCAGCGATGCTGCTTCATGCTTCCTGTCCAACGAGGGATTCTCTCTGCCAATCCAAACAGTTTAGCTAATCAATGAGAAATGATTTACAGAATGAGAAATTCTGTCATCTAAATGCAATGCCCAAGAAGTTATTACTGCCACAACATTTTCCATGTTACTGGTCAAACCCATATTCTTCTTGCCAGTGCTGTGGGAAAGCAGTTTGTTTTTCAGGTTATGATAATGAGGAATTATGTATTTAAAGGACAAAAGGTGGCGGAGAAATAAACCAAAAGTTGTATTAAATGTTGCTCCTCATTATTGTAATAGCCCCTGAGACTCCTCTCTAATCCCTTCCTTCTCCACTCACTCACCAGCCTCTGGAGGAGGATTAAAAATAACCCCATCAATGCTGCTTCTTACCGGCTGGTAGGGGAGCTGCAAAATGAACATTAGAGGAAGACCATATTGCCTCTGCCAACTGCAAATTATACAAGGTCAGGAAAGAAGCCTATGTCTTCCACGGGGCAACGAACCACCCCTGGACACACCAGCTAGTGCACTATAGATGTTTTAAGGCAAAGAGAAAATGTGTCCCTAAAGGAACCTTGGTGGGAGCCAAGTGAGAATGGTATAAGTGCAGCACATTACCCAGAGGACCTGGTAGAGGAGGCACTTTTGGAGCTCTAGTTATTTGGATTGCTGGAATTCAAACGTTTTGCTGTGGTGACAAGCACGGGTTCCAGGAAGGCGATCTGGGATTTCTGACCGATTCCCGTGGCATGACATGGTGACTGTGTTCAAAGCTACTTTACCCCACCCTTTTCCAGCTGAAAGAGGAAAACAGAAAATTAGTTCTAGAAAATTATGTCAGAGATTTGGATCAGCCTGCTGATCCAAGGCGCATGGAAGGGAGTCCAATTGCTAATGCTTTTTGTTATCTGTGAGAGGAGGAGATTGGATAAATGTAAAGCCAAAGAACAGGAGATCTGTTTCCCTGAGGCCTGGTCCCCATCCTTCTGGGGAGCGGGTTAGAAACTATGGTGATCTCACAGCTGGAGGTGCCATGATGAGGAACCATAAGAAACACTTAGATTTTCTGCCCACCGACGCAAACCAATATTTATGGGGAGCCTGATTTTTACTGGTTGGCTTTTCCCAGTAAACATTGGTTTGAACTTAAAACCAGAAGCCTTAGCTACGTTTAAGTTTTTGCCCTGGATTGGTAAGAAACTGTTGCTGTGGATAACTTCTCACCCATCTTCATCCCACTAGGAAGTATTTGTGGTTATGTGGTCGTTTCCCGTGTCTCCAAGAAGGGGGCATAAACCAGTCCCTCTTGGAAACAAAAGTCATGCATTTTGCTTTAATTCTATATAAAGTTACACAAGAGATAAACAATGGCAGAGCCTGCTGATGAGTTTTACAGGTTCAAGTTCTCACATGCTCAATTTCCTTTTAAAAAAGGCAACATGTTGCTTCAAAGAGCCTCCCACCTGATCAAGGGACACTAAATCTGCAGCTGTTTCCACTAAAGATCGGCACCTCTAGGCCAGGCTTTAACTTCATAACAATAAAACATGAAAGGTTTATCTTACAATAAAAACAAACGAACACGGAAAAAGCGGAGGGCTTGATCTGTGCCGGGCAGCTCCCCCCACCCGACCCCTTCTTGCACGACAGGCTCTTTGGAGGAAAAGGCCACAGGAAAGAGTACAAAGCATTTTTCACCTCCTATGACAGCTTTAAATGTTTAACTAGAAAAACAGCCTCTTCGGCCCTGTCGATCATTTCAGTTTGAACCCATTTACAGGCATTGCTGACAGGGAACGTTAAGGATCTGTGCACATTTTTCCTTTTTAAAATGTTCCTGCCTGACAGTAAAGGCTGTTTACATACAAGCAGGACCATACGGAATTGGGATTAGGCACGAAGCCCGGTCTCCAGAAGCTCATCTCTATACTTTTTTTGGCTCGTGTGCTTTCAGAGAGAAATATCATCATACCCAAAAATCAATCTAACACACACAAGAGCACGTGCCTTATACCCAACAGGACATCATAAAAGTGTCTGGTAGATAAACAAGCATCTCCAGGATGGACTCATGCCCCAACAGTCCATCTGGGAAAAAGGGTTTCTATAAATTCATCAGTGCTCCCTCCAACGCAACGTGGTTGCCGCATGAGCTTTTCTAATCTACTGAACCAACTGCAGGCTTAAGCCAGGACAAAGCCAGCCACACCTAGATGAGTTTTTCTTCTTAGCAGTCAGTTTGAGACTAAAGGTGAAAAGATTAAAACACACTCATTCATAGTTGGCAGCTGCTGTTATGGCACTTGTTAGAGCCTTTTCAGTTGTTAAATACAATTTTCTTTTGTATTTAAGCAACTCCCACCTGAAGACAGATGCAAAATACTAAGCTGCAAGTTCCCTCCCTTCAGGTTTTACTCTTTTACAGAAGAGCTAAAATAGTAAAAATGAAAAACAAGCTGCTGGAAAGCAGCTACTTAGTCCTAAGAAAGTAGTGACCAGTCTGCTACACATCAAGCCCTCTGGAGATGGCAGGATTCAGGGACGTGTCCAGGGCATCCAGCCCTTGATACATTTAGCCAGAAAAAGGACACTAATCCATCATTAAGTCCAGCCCTTCTGGACAAATAGCCACCTCTTTCAAAAAAAGCACAACATTCAGTACAACTCCATTGCCTTGTTGAGACGGTGGTGGCAGCAGCTTAAGGGCAAAATGGGAGTTTTCATCCATTCAATTAAACTACTACTTAAACAAATTTCTATTGCTAAAGAAGAAACTAAATTTCAGAGCAGTATGTTCCGATGAAGTATTGCTACTGCAGCTAGGCAGAGTACAAGAATATATTAGGGGGTAATTAAG